TAATCAAATATAACTTAAGCATAAATTTAAAAATATAGGTTAAATATAAAATAAATTAAAGTTTTAATTTTTTATACATGGTAATTGATGCATTCACATAATTTAATTGTGAAGCATTTTTATTGGTTATCAAAAAAATTTTTTGAAATACCAATTTATTAACGCAGATGAGATATAAAAACTAATTTTTTAATTTTGTTTCACCTAATAAATTTTTAAAACAATTTTAAAAATTTAATTATTTAAAAAAACTTCTTAATAAACTTAAAATTTCTTCTAATAAATTTAATAAAATATATATTAGTTTATACTTTTTATATAATAATTATATTATTAACATTAATATTTATTTTTTATTAAAAAATTAATACTTTTTTTGTGTTTGCAAGTAATTTGCCTTTAAGGAATAATTAATTTTTTGAATAAATTAAAATATTTTTTTTTAGATTTTATTATATTTTAAGATTATATAAAACAATGATTTATATAGTACTACTAATAATAATTATTTGTATAATTTTATAGAATTTTTAATGTTATATATGGATATTTTGCAGTAGAAAAGGAGGAAACTACTAAAAAAATTTTTTAAAGTTAATATTAAATCTGAATTTATTTTACTAAAAAATTAATATTTAGCTTAAAAAGTAAAAAAATTTTTTTGATGATTTTCCTTTTTACTACAAAGTATCTGTATATTACTATTATAAAAAATATTTGTATAAAGTTATATTAAAAAATTTTTAGTCATTTTATCTATATATATATATTTCTGAGTTTTATTAGAATAATATAAAGATATTATTGTAAATTTTATGATTTTAGAATACACAAAATTTATTTATAATATATTTTTTGAATATATTAAAAAGGTATACAGAGATATAAAAATTAATATAATAACTGATATAAAAAAATTATAAATTGTTTATTTAAAGAAAATAAAGTAATTTGTTATAATAATAGATAGATTTAGTATAATTTTAAAGGTTTTTAAAATTACTTTATTTTATTTTCTAATATAAAACAATATCATTATTTTAATTTAGTAATTTATCTAATGATATTGATAAAGTATATATTTCAAAGAAATTTGAAGAAATAGCAATTTCTTTTATTTTTCTTCATAATAATAGATTTGATAAAATAACAAGATAGGTATAATTTAATTTTACCATTAATTAAAAAAAGAAAATAATACCTATATTTAGAGATTCATAAATATGTAGACAATTTATTTAAAAATGTTTATTTTTCTAAATCTAATAAACATTAATTTATTTATTTATTAAAAAATAATTTAAATTAAAATAAATGAAAAATTGAAAAAGAAAAAAAGAATGAAAACTGAAGAATAAAGTAAGAAATAAAGAAAAATGAAAAAAAAATGATCAAAAAGATGCAAGAAAAAATATAAAAGGTTAATGTAATAAATAATATATAATAAATATGATTTTACATTTGAAAAATTATTAATCCTTAGAATATATAATAAAAATTAAATATGAAAAGTATAATGTAGAGTAATAAATTATTTATTATAAGAAAATTATGTAATATTAGTGATGATCACTATTAGATATTTATAGCAAAATTATATAAAAAAATAAAAAATTTATATAATATTAAATTAAAAAGTAAAATGAAAATGCTTATCTATTAGAAATCATTTTATAATTATAATAATTATAATTAAATTTAAGATAATATTAATATATGATTATATTTTTATTATAAATATTTTGTATAACTAAATAATAAATGTAATTATTATTTAGAATTTTATAAAGAAAAAATATTATCTTTAATGTAAAATAAATGATGATATTAATAATAATTTATTAAATAATAAAATAATAATAAAGTAAATTATGATAATGATAAAGTATTAGTAAAAAAATATTGGTAAACTTTAAAAATACTTTAGATTTATAAATTATAATAATAAGTTATTAAAAAATAAATATATATAAAATCTTTAAAATTTTAGCTGATATTTAATTTTTTTATAAAAATCTTTAAATCTTTTTTTATAAATGTAAAAAAAACAAATACAGTATCTATTAATGTATAAAATAATATATTAATAAAATTAATATTATATTTTTTTTATTACTTTTATCAATTAAAACTGAATATTATATAATATAAAAAAATTAACATTTAATTTTATTATCTTATGATAAAATTTTAATATAATATTATTTAAAGTTGAAATAATTTGTATTTAGTAAATTTAATCATTAATATTATATTCTTAATATTTGATAAATTAAAAGTATTTTAAAAATATGTATAGAAATTTATAAATATTTTATTAATTTATATAATATTTAATATTATTATATAATTTGTATTAAAATATGATCTGCATATTTTATTTTAAAATAATTTTTGTTATTAAATAATATAATTTTAAATTACTAATCATTATGATCATTTTTTTAAGTTATAAAATTATAAAATCATTAAATTTTTTATTTTTTGATTATTTGTTAAACTTCTAATACTTAATCCTTTTGATCTCTTAAATATTATATTTGATTTTAAGTAACTTGTTTTATTAATTTGAAATATATAGTTATAAAATTATATAATTAATTATATATTTATCAAGTAATTAAAGAAATAGTAAAGATTAATAATTAAAGTTTTAAAATAAAAATTTATAAAAATTTTTAATATAAAATTATTATAAAATAAAATATTAATTTAATATTTTATTTTATAATATGCTATTTATATGATTTTTTTTCAAAATTAAATTGTTTATTTGTTTTTAATTCGGTAATATTTTATAATTTTTAAATATGATTTCAGAAATTATTATTATATTTAAAATATAAGTAATAAAAAGATCAATCTTAAATTTTAAATAAACAAATAGTAAAACATTTTTATTATTATTTTACATTTTTTATCAAATAATTAATATTTAATTCATTTTAATTAATCTTTTGTTATTTAATAAGTAATTTTATAATTATAGAATTAAATATGATATTTAGAATATAAATAAAACACATTTTTTACATATTTTATATATTTTAATCATTTTTTTTATTAATATAATTAAATATTATAAAATTTACAATTTAGATACAATTTTCTTAAATTCTTAATTATAACATATTTTATAATTAATTCAAATATCTAAAAAAATCTTTAAATATTATTAATTTTTAATATGTATTTTATGAACAATTTTTGTTAGGTAAGTATATATAAAAATAGTTAATTTTTATGATTAAATTACTTAACCTTTTTAGCTTAAATATCATATAACTAATAATTTAATTATATAAGTTAATTCCTTTTATTTATATATCAATATTAAAAGATTTTTTACACTGCTTATATAATCTTCCTAAGTATTGCCAGAAAATTTTTTCAACTTCATATTTATCATCTTGCGTTACACCTTCTGTGTTTCTATTTTTTATAAGTATTCTGAAGACTTTGAATTTTTTAAATAGTGAAAAAGTTGAAAAATATTTTTTTAATATCCTGTATATGTAACTATGATATTTTAATGCTTATAAATCACCAGTCATGTGAAGCAAAATTTTACTTTCTTATATAATCACAGATAACCTCATCAAAGGTATGAGATTTTTAAAATCTGACAAAAAATTTATATAAATAAATTAAAATTTAATAAATGATAATAAATCACTTATTTTTTTCTTTTCAACAAATAATGTTTAAAAAGAGAGAAAACGGGGGTAAAAGTTTATTTTTTAAATAATTAATACTTGAACAATATTCTAATTATTTCTAATATTTCATTACATTTCTTACTATTAAAGAAAAGATCAAAAAGTTCTTTTTGGATGCAACAAGTGCTGATATTAAAAGATATATAAAGCAGATTTTAAACGCTGATGATCTAGATGCATTTATGATTATAAAGCTAAACTGAATATGGGTTATAAATTATAGATAGATTGCTTATAACCAAACAATGGATCATTTTGCTATTTTTAATCTTAACAATCAACGTAGAGATAAAGGTAGCTGCTGTATTTTTCACTTTAAAGATATGCAAGAAATATATTCTATTCAGAATGGTATTCTTAATAATAATCTTATTTTCAACAGCTTTCACTTTTCTCAAAGTGTACAAAGATATATACCTGCAAATATTAATCCAGTATAAATTAAATATGCATATGTTATTATTAAGGTAGAAGTCAAAAAAGTTGATTTCATAAAAGATACGAGATTTTTTTTATCAGTTAATCAGCAGTTGACATTGATCATGTATTGTGTAAAATGCTGAAATCAAGGAGGAAAAAGGAACATGCTTTATAAGGATATGTTTTTTTATACAAATTAGTGAATTAATTTTTAATTTTTATTAATAGTAATAAGGAAAGCATTATTTTTAAAATTTGCAAAATAGTTATTGAAATTTTAATAAATTCATAAATCACAATTACTTGATATAATACTTATTTTTTATGTAGTATTATATTATTATTACTATTATTGACTCTCAATTACAATGGGACTTGTAGCCTGCATGGATGAAAGATATATTGTAATAGGAGGTTCTCTTTCGCTGGAAATAGTTGTAATCTCTTAAATTTGCAGAAATTTTTGAAAATACTTTGAGTTAGAAAACCTGTTATTGTCTTTTTCATTTACCAACCATATTGGAAGTGTATAGTTCCATTTCCTTCACTTATATATTTCCTGTAAATTGAAGCTAAAGCGAAAAAAAGCATTACTGTAATAAAATAAGCTTTTTGATCATATTGTTATACAAATTATTTTATACCAACAAACATTCTTTCATTGCTATTCTAACACAAAAGTTGTCTTAGACATGAATATTCATATTTTTGATATAAGAGGTATACATCTTATTCTCCATAAAGAGAGCATTGAAAATATTACACCACATGACTATCTTCTTGCACAAAATTAATAGTGGATAAAAATGCATTGCTAATATTAAATTATCTTTAATCTCCTTTGAATTTACAACTGCCGAAATGGAGGCAGTTTTTAGAATTGCTATAGGAGATCACTTGGTAAATAATTTATTGAATATCTTTGCTTTTGCATTGTCAGAATCATTGAATTTTAATTTATTTTGTAATACAACAGACACTTGGCAGTGAATCACATTTATTTGTTATTGATGAGGCCAATGCAGCTACCACTCTTTTCTTTGGTAATTTTCTTAACTATAATAATCATTCACAAGGTCTTTTAATACCATTGATAATGTTTCTTGGTCAACAACGTTCCAATCGTAATGACACTTGGACAAGAGAAAAGTATTAATCGTGATATTTCCCAGGGGGCAACTGCCGATTATCTTGTTGATTTTAAAATGTCAAAGGTTGAAGAGGTAGAATCTTACCTAGGACGTTTTTTTGAATGTAAATCTTAAGAATATTAAATATCTTGCTGATCGTCCTCATTTTGCTGCTCAATTTGTATTAGAAATTATACGTTTGGAAAAAATTATAAGCAAACAGGAAGTTCAAGGTTCCCTTCGCATACATTTCATTCTGCCTGATTTAGCAGAAACTAAAGATAAGTCCGATCGAGGTGGTTTCCGGGTAGAAGGGAACGAAATTATCATGTACATAGACCGGAATTTGTTAAATAGGTACTTCCAGAACCCACGACATATGAAAATGTGATAAATAATATTCTTTAAAAGAAACTAATAACAGCCGTTAAATATTGTGCTTTGGTAAATAAAAATCTATCGTCGTAAAAGCCTATATTTATTTAATTTAATAATTATATGAAATTGCCTATATAGTCACCTCCTATATAGTCACCCCTTATAAGCACATTTTGTTAGATCATATAACTAGGTGTGACTATATAGGGATAATATCGGAAGGTTTAGGATACATCGGATCGCCTTATTTACGATTATATATTAAATCCGAAACGTTTAGGATTTGGAAATGACGTGATATGTAGATTTACTGCAGAAGCTTTAGCTTGTCTAAACAATCTAGACCAACATCTATTCGGTAGTCAGACATCATTATACTTGTACGAGACAAGCAGTGTCAAAAATAAATTAACAATAACCCTTGAAATTCTGAACGAAAATAATTATTAGATTGTAAACCCAGAAATTGCTTCACAGACACAAGACAGTCCAAGAATCTGAATACAATAATCATTCAGAGGAAGTTTCGAGGCACTAAATTTGTACTCCGTGTGGCTCTAGATAAAACACGCGTCCTTGGACGATAGTGACGTTTTACACAAAAAGTTATGACCGATACTGGAGAAAAGATGACATCTGGAACTGCTTTGCGAATTGGGTGGGAAATAGCACTGGGAAGAAAATAATGGTCTAAATATGAGACAAAAAGATTTTTATACAAACTTGTAAATAATGTATGTATAATATTGATTACAATTTATAATTATACATAAAACTTTTTATTAAGTTCAATTTCTTTATTAAATAATTTTCACTGCACTGTTTATAGAATTTTTTTCTTTTTTTTTTTTTTAAAAAAAAAAAAAAAAAAAATTTACAAAATTAAACCTTATGATCTATAAGAAATTCCGAAAATAAAAATAGATTATTTATTAATATAAAAAAATTAAAATTAATTACCCTTATACATATTTGAGCAATGTCGACTCGTTTTCATGCTTGATTTGCTTCTTTGCATGAGATTCGTGTTACCTACCAATCAGGTCATAATTCATTTACAATTACAAAACCAGAATCTAAAATTTATGACTCCCGTGCCTGCACCTTTTGGGTTAATATGGATTGTGATATAACGATAAATATGTATGAAATCCTTGATGCTTTTTAATTTATAAGCAAAACTTATTTAGATACCTTTCTCGTAAGGCATTTACCAGATTGATTCCATATATTTCCGAAATCAAAAGACAATAATGGATTAGATCACATTTCTTTACTTGTAGATTTCTCACTAAAACGGATTTAAAATAACCAATCCCAATAAATTTTCATATCGAAAAACTAATGTGCAACCGCTGTCAAACCTTAACTTTTAATATGATAAATTTTTTTAAATTAAAAAATAAACACCTTTAGTTATTTATAAATTTATTTAACTATCATATAAATAAAAACAAATTAATTTTAGACAAGTAATTATGATGTTATTCGTTCACTATTAACGAGTTAACACCGATCGGATCATCTCAAAACTTTGATGTAACATTCCTTCAACGAATTGTGTGTGACATATGCTAATTCGTGTCGAGAATAAAATTTCATAATGTGACAAAAAGAATATGCACGTGAAATTGTACCGAAAATATATCACGAAAATACATATTATAAAATAACAATTATAAAATAACAAACAATGATAAATTTTTTTTATATATTTTATCCAAAATATCCCAAAATAATACGCCACTTTGACAAAATATTTCGGTAGATCAATTCCACAAATTAAGACTTGTTATACTTTTTGTCACTTTTACAGTATTCGTATTCCTGAATGACCGGATGGTCGGATTTCGCCTCCGAATTTGAAGTCCTACCCTAGATTATATAGGTTGGCATTTGCATTAAATTATTTGAAAACCTTTTTTCTTTTCCTACTTCGAAAAATCTCAAACGAACGATCTTTATATTTCTATAAAAAAAAAAAGAGAGAGAGAGAGAAAATTTCAACCCATTTTCAATATATAATTTTTAATTTATAATTTATTACAATGCCTTGTAATCCACTTTTCGGTAAAAATAGACCCTTACACCGTAAATTAGTGGTGTTAGGTGACGGCGCTTGTGGTAAAACTTCTCTTTTAAATGTATTTACAAGAGGTTATTTTCCACAGGTATGTTTACAAGTCATTAATAGGTTCTTGTGGGTTATTCTTTTTTTGTAGAAAGGGACGGAAAAATTTAGCCTTCGACTGTTCTTGAACAGATTTAAAGAAATTTCCCTTTTAGGTTTCTTCAAAAGTTCAACTGAATAATTTAAGCATTTATTTCAAATTTTCTTTTCTGACATTATACTCCTTCCCTTTTTTTTTTTACCTTTGCTTTTGTTAGGTATATGAACCAACGGTATTCGAAAATTATGTACATGATATATGGATTGATAACCAACAAATTGAATTATCCCTTTGGGATACAGCAGGTAATAAACTCAATTAGCAAGGGAAACATAATTTAACAAAAATTTTAAACCATAATTTTGTAATTTCTCCTATAGGCCAAGAAGAATTTGACCGGTTACGTTCTTTATCTTATGCTGATACACATGTTGTTATGTTGTGTTTTGCTGTGGACCATCGAGACTCACTTGAAAATATTGAGTCAAAATGGATGTCGGAAATTACTGAACATTGTCCAGGTGTCAAGCTTGTCTTGGTTGCCTTAAAATGTGACCTGAGGGAGGATAGTAATATTATAAAAAGTATGCAACGATATGGTGACAGGCCGGTTACTTATGAAGAGGTAACTAACATAGCGTGTAGCGTCTTAAATGAGATGTATCTATATATGTTATTAACTTGTACTTTTTTTAAAAAAAAAAATGTCTAGGGACTCCATGTAGCTCAAAATATCAATGCATCCAGATATTTAGAATGCTCTGCGAAGCACAATAGAGGTAATTTTAAGTTTGATATATTTCTATTTAGAATTTCTTTTGTTCATAAAAGAGAGTATCTTAAGGCAAAATTTTTATGTCTAGGCGTACGAGAGGCCTTTGAACAATCAGCCCGTGTGAGCATTCACGCAAGACCAAAAGGTGCACCACATGATCCAAGCAATGTGAGATGCATAATACTTTAATAATAATCACATTCTTTGGAAATGTAACAAAAAAATTTAGGACATTCTGTATTTTTACTTTCTATAATTCATATTCATCATATATAATTTTCGGAAGGAGTAATAATGTTGACTGGTGTAATTGATCTATCAAGGTCAAAACATTTTTATTCTTTTTTTTTTTTTTTTATGACAAACAAGATAATTATATATCCTTTTTTTTTTCCTGTAAGAGATTTTTTTTTTCCGCCGGTTTATAATTTTTTCTTTTTCTTTCACTCAATCCTTATCTTATTTTCATCAACAATCACATTAAACCACATCACTTTTCTTTCATTAATATATTATTTTTTTAAAAAATTTTTTTATTGTAATATCGAATTTTCGGTGTTTATCAAAGGCTGTTTGAAATTTTAAAATGGTAAAATTGTCAAAAAAAAAATAATTAAAAAAAAAAATTTTGATAATTTGGGGAAACTGTTAAATGTGCTGAGGATGATTGTGAGAATATCAAGGGAGGCAAAATGTCAAATTTGGGGGGTAATAGAAGTATAGGATATTCTTGTTTAGATTCACATAAATACGCGCGTTAATATATTGTAAATGATATCAACAATAGATTTTCCTGATTTATTATAAAAAAATACAATGGTGGGATGATTGCTGATTTCTAATAAAAAAATAAAAATAGGTTTTGTTATAGAATAACGACATGCATACGTAAACGGATGAATGAAATTAAGTTTATCATCCTAACTTATTAAGGAAGAAAAAATTTTTATTTATAGATCACAACATTTCAAATTCCGATTTGGATAACACAATGAGAAATTGAATATTATTTTTATATAAATACAATAATTTAGATGGGAGATAAACCACAGGTTTTAATTGTTGAAAGTCGAATAAATTAAAAAATGTTTTTGATTATTAAATTTAAATAAAGATTCGCTTATTTGGAACCACAATTGTCATCTAATTCTTTCTCTTCTTTTGTCAAACGCATTAAAGTAGCTTCAGCTAACAGTTCACGTTTTGTTAATCTACGATCCGTACCTACACCACCAAGAACAAAAGTTCCACCTTGCCAAGATTTTTCATCGATTGCTTCTTCTTCAGGAGCATTATAAAATTCATCATTTGATATTTTGTGACCTCCTGATGCTGTCCAATCCAATTCAACTAATATATTAAAGAAAAATCTATTAGTTTAAGAGAAACCTTTTATTTTCTCCGTATGAACTAAGATATTGAAAATGATACTTGCCAACTTCCTTGTTGAGTTGTCTGTTTAACCGATGAAAATTATCATCATGATCACCCCAAACATTATGAACCAATTCATGTAATAAAACTCTTCTAATTTCAGGATAATGCCTAAAACCTTCCATATCATCTGTACGTAATCTTAATGTAATTAACTCTCCACGATTTTTATTAAATCCCAGAATATCTTTTTCTACCGGGGATAATTCTCGTAAAGTACCAACATTCCATTTATACTTTTTCATTATTTCTCTAATTCCGTTATCATCTCTCAATTTTTCCAACAATACACGTGCCTTCCCGGATTCAGGAAATTGTTCTATTACTTGTATATTATGAAATGTATAATTGTGTTCCGATAATGTCGACTCTTTATTCCTTATATCCTTATATGGCTATAAAAAAAATATGTGTGGAGGAACGATTCAATTAGAAAAAAAAATATTTTTCTTTTTGTCTTTTTTTAAAAGAAATATTATATATTTCGACTTACATTGATTGCAAATTTTGATTTCGATTTGTTAAAAGGTTGATGTATCACTTTTGAATCCGCAAGCTTGATGTTTTGAATGTCTTCTGGTGAACTACCTATTAACATTACTTTAATTCCAGATTTAAAATTACACTCTCGTAACGTTTTAGTATCTGATAACACAACTATATTTATTTTTATTTTATTTATTATTTTTAAAAAAAAGGGTTAACTAAAGAAAAAGTTAAATTTTGATATATAATTACAAAAACAAATAAATCTTCTTACCTTTGTATAATAATTTTTGAAATTCGGAAGGTATGCCAATACTTTTGGCAAGGAATTCTTTTAATTCATGTACTGTATTATCAAGAGGCCACGATTCCAATGGTATGATCCTTCCTTTGTAATTTACTTGAAAAGAAACTATTTGAAGGAAGAGAAAAGAAAAAACATAATAAAATGAGTATAAAATATATATAGATCGATTGAAAAATATCCGATAAAAAAAAAAATAATTTTACTTGTGTCTTGAGCCATTTTAAATATAAATAATATTATTTTTTGTTTTAAAAAAAAGAAAAATGAAGTATATCAAGAAAACAAAAAAATAATAAAGTGGGAGCGACGGCAGAATAGCATTTATTCTAATGTATTTATATGGCAAAATTATTAATTATCCTTACAAATTCCATTCTTTCTTATTTGGTATAAATCGAATCTTCTGGTCGTTTAATTCAATTTGTAATATAACATCATTTTGGAACCTTTCACGTGTCATATTTCTGAGGCGCGGATTTATAATCTCCAACCTGGAAAGTAAGGAGTTTCCCCCCTTTCCTTCTCGATTTTCGGTCAGGAAAAAAAAAAAATAAAAAATAAAAAAATAAAAAGTTTAATTCCTTTAAAATTTATGTCCAGCAAATTAAGTTACAGATTTTATTTTTTTTTTTACATAAATGTACATATATAGAATTGTATGATGTTTTTTACATGAAATTGTTGAATGATTCATTAAATATTACAAGGGTTTTATGATGTGGTTTTTTTTTTTAAAAATGAATGAAAATTTTTTGTATGATGATCTTATATCTAATTAAAAATTATCTTTACGCCGTTCTTAAATTATTTAAATTCAAAACCTTTTTTTTTTTTTTTTAAAAAAAAAGTTTTAAGCCATAGAATGGTTATGATTTTCCGATTCACGTCCTGTCCTTGCATTATTTCTCTTCTCTTTATACCAAATAATCATTACCAAAAGTCCAATAGCGAACCAATATACAAAGTAACCAACCGTTGTTCCGAGAGTGGCCTTGCTTCTCCATCCAAACAAGGTTTTCATAATCCCCCAGAATTCATTTGTCTTTGGATCACAACATTCAAGTTCCCATAAAACCTGCTCGTTAGCTCCCATTGATTCTTGAAACTCATGTATCGAAGTGGAGAAAAAACCGGCGGCAATGAATAAAAGTAGGGTGGTTGTGATGGCGAAAAATAACGTGACCGGTAATATGTTCGATCCCTTGTAGATGAGATATCCGATTGATAATCCGGACATGATTCCCAGGATAATAGGAATTGGAAATCCCGAAGATGGCTTATCTAATCCGACCTAATTGGTAAAAAGGATTTTTATCTATTGTACTGTGTATATACACACATAAAGAGGATGAAGATTACTTTAATAATACTTACACCGGCGATGAACACAATAGATTCAACGGTTTCACGGCATATGACGGAGAATGGTAATAATATCAAAGCCCATCTGTTCCCTTGTTCATGTCTTTTAAGATACTGTTCGGTGGCATGTTTCAGTCTACCTTCCCATTTTATTCTCCATTGTTGGACTTGAACCATACTCAAGGCCACCAAGGTGAGAACAATTGTGGCGATAAGTGAGAACGTTCCCTCTATTTGTTAAAATGCAATAATAATAATAATAATAATATCATCATGTTATTATTTATTAAAAGCAAAAAGGTATTATGTGATGAGAAGCGTGATATTACCCCACGCGGCTCCACTATCTTTCCAGAGATTCCTCGCGATCGAGTAGAATACGATAATAAAGACAACACCAAGAATTATGGATACTCCTAAACCAGCAACGGTTCCAATCAATATTTGCCTTATAAGTTTCTTTTTCAATAAACTTTTCTCTTCCGGAATCAATTTATCAATGAATCCTAAGAGGACCGCAAGGACAATTGTAACCTCAAGAGTTTCTCTTAAAAGAATGAAATAAGCAGGCACGTCAAATAAATATACCATTTTTTTTTTTATTTTATTTTAACGAAAAAAAAAAAAAAAGAAAATAATTTATTTTATTGAGGGAGGGGATTCCTGAAGAAAATGGCCAAAAAAAAAAAAAGGTTTTTTATAACGCTTTTTTTTTTTTTTTTTTTTTTTTTTTTTTTTTTTTTTTTTTTTTTTTTTTTTTTTTTTTTTTTTTTTTTTTTTATT